GTGTTGCCATAAAAATGAGATGCGTTCTTGAAAAATAACAGAGGGCAAAATTCAAGTTTAATTGAAGCTAAGAGCCATGTCCTATCTTACATATCTAGCTTTTTTCTTTATTTCCCCCCCTCCCCACAATTCCCGGAGGGTTTGGGCACTTATCAAATAATACATATTCATATTAAAGCAGCAACTATAGCTCCCCAGTGGGCTCAACAGACGCCAACACAGCCCTTGCCTCCCATAATTTCTTGTCTTTAACCAAATCAACAACAAATGTCTCCACAGATTTGCTGCTACCTTTTTCCTCTTTCCTCCTTGGCTTCCTCGCCTTTCAAAATTCTGATATTGAGTGTGTAGTTTTCCCGAAAAAAAATTATTTCCTGAGTGTTTACAGCTCAAGCCTTGGAAAACTGACCTATTGAAAGTTGAATATTCATATTTTAGGTATCCACTTTTGGAGAACATTACCCTATAATAAACTTAGTGGTACTCTGTAGGCTGCAGGATAGATTATAAAGTTTTATAGAATTTCAGAAAGTATGAAAAAAAGAAACCTAACTTCTATTGGAATTCTGTTGCATAGCTGTGGTTGCACCTAAAATAACGAATTCATGAACAAGTAGCAATAATGAGCAAATGCATCTGATTTATGGAAAATAAACACCTCCAGGAGTCCAGCTGTGTTTCAGGTAGAGCTGCCTTCAGAGTCAGGTGTTTTCTCAGGCTGCTTTTCCCTTTGGGCTTTCCCTCTGTTAAACACGTGCCATTTTGCCAGGTTATAAAAAGATGCCTGATGTGCATCTTACCACCATGGAATTTTCTTGCATGATCCCAGAAATTCAGCGTAATGACACAGGAGATGATGGGACAAGTTCTCCTCTCCTCCTACTCTGAAAATATGCTTCAAGGGCACCAATACTACCCAGACAGATTGCATCCAGTGCTCACAGAGTAATTTGGTCTCCGTTGCCGGTGGCTTTTGTGATGGGGACATCATGCAGCAGAGTGAAACTTCCAGTGCTCACAGAGTAATTTGGTCTCCATTGCCACTCAGGCTTCTGCTTTGAGATTCCTACAGTGGACATCACCTAGGGCTAGTTATGCTGGTGGCTTTTGTGATGGGGACATCACGCAGCAGAGTGAGCCTCCAGGAGAACAAAAGCCAGGCCCCTGCACTGGTAATTTTCCAGCAAGTGGTAAAAAACATTAGTGAAGCTAATGAAATATCTGGATAAGAAAAAAATTCTATCCTTTAATCCTTTTAGGATTTGATTTTAAAATCCATAGGTTATTTAATGTGCATTTTTATAGAATACATATATGCAGATGTATGTGCAATCTGTCGATCTGTTTCTTTTGGGATAGTCACACATATCTCACTTTAAAAATACCTAAGACAAGAGGCAAATTCATCAGAGTGGCAGGTCAGATTTACAAGTCAAACACTTAAAATACCTATCTGTCCTCCGCTCACGTCTGGCTTCCAGGCTCCCTACTGATGGCAGAGCTGCGATACAATGCAGTAAGTCTGGAGCAAAATCCTGACGTTTTAAGATAAAGTTTAGAGACCTGATTTCACAGACGCCTCTATCCTGCTTCCGAGGCACAGAAGCACTGAAGCAACGACCAGCGAGTGATACTCCGTTCCATGGTCTGGCATTTGTGTCTGAAGTCATGCACTTTTTTCTTAAAAATGTATTTAAATATAGAAAAAAAATTACACAAGTATCGAAAAAATTACAGCACTTATTTTTGCTGAAGTGCATTAGTAGCCAGAACGCCAATGCCTCAGCAGCAGATATGTTTTTATAAACCTTAGGTATATGAAACATGATGACATTTAGGAAAACTAACCAGATGAAAAGAAATCAAGAAACAATTGAATAGAAGTTAAGCTAGTTAAGAAGTTCTGAAGTTAAATTCTGCTCATGGTTTGCATATGATTTAAAAAGTCTATGCAGCTGTTCAAAAAACAAGAAGAAAAAAAGATAACATCTCTAGTGCCTTCCTTTGCTAACTCAGTTAGCAATCTTATACCTTGATAACACTGGAGGGGGAAAAAACAGTGAAAAACCCTCCTGACATATCATTCAAATCATATCTAAAAAGGTGGTCATAAATATTTTAGAACCCAGGCAAACTAATAAGAGCTAGGCCCATTAAGGATAAGATCTTTTACAACAAATTAAATAAAACAATTTATTGAAGCCTGGACTTGAGATAAACTAGATTTACTAGCTGACCTTTTATTCATTTAAAGAACAAAATTAGCTCTAATTGCATTAGAATGGAATCCAGTAAATTTCTTCTAATGTGGCATCCATGCAAGTATTGCTGTAATTGTTTACAACTAAGATGGAAATGCTTTGATTATAATCTACTTTCTGCCTGTTTTCCAGTGTAGTTAAAATACTCACAAAAAAAACTGAAATACAATAGTTTTTCCAATATTATTCTCCTCCCTTTCAGCAACAGCTACATTTTCATGTCCATTAACCCAATATTATTAATAGCTGGATCTTCTGAAGCCGTGTGTGTTGTAAGAATACTTAGACATTGGACAAGCTGAAATACAGAGACTGCTTTGATTTGGGAACCAATATTCAGTTGTATTCACAGAAACAAAAAATAAGTAGAATTCCCTGCAAAAATTGGCAGTGATTTGTGTGTTGGAGGTTGGTCCAAACAGAGAAGCTGAGGAACAAACTGATGGGGAATAAAGTGTTTGCTATAGAGCAAAGCTATTTTCCCCAGGACCTCTGCATTGAGTAAACCTCCATCATGCTGTATTTCTGCTGTGATCTGAACTTCTACCAACTGATACTTTATCTTCATGTACCTGAAATATTCTGTGGCCTCATCAATATCTGTAAGTAGTTCTATGCTTTATACAGTGTCCCAAAACGGCTAACTTCCAACTGTCCAGGTATTTTAGTAGCTTCCAAACCCTCCAAAGAGCCCTTCCCCTTAATGCAGGAAATTAAAATAATTCAATATTCCATGTATTCTTTTACTCATTAATTTCTGTCAGTCACAAAACATTTTTCTCACAACTTTTTGTAGTTTAACTACTACAACTATTTTTGTAGTTTAAATAATCTCATGCTAGCCCAAACTAGCTAATCAAAGCACAGCATTTCCACATGAAAACCAAGATATAAGAAGGACTTCATCATCAACCTCAATGCAGCATGGCTTTATATCTTCCTTAACATAACACATGACAAAAGCACAGCTTTTGTCCCAGCTTCTTAAGAGATACTTAAAAGGTTGATGAGCTTACATAGTCTTTGAACTAGTAACTTAAAATCCAGGTATCAAAGGCTTATGGCATTGCTTCAATGGTCCAAACTTGTACCAAAGGCACTGGGTGGGTTACATAAATGTTACCAAAATTTTATCTTAAACGCTGATCTAACTTCACGGTCCTTTACACACATGCAGGGAAACCCATGCAGACGGTATGCAGTGCTTTGTCTCAATGCCATGCTTGTCCTTTTCATAATTATCGCAATGCTTGAACGGGAAAATGAAAAAACGAGATACTTCTGGGATATGCAACAAGGAGATGGAGTCTGAAGGCCCTTTACGAAATGTGTGTGGGTGTTGGGGAGACCAGGGTGAGACAAGAGGCAAGGCAATGTCGGATTTGAGATGCCAAAATATGGCTCCAATGTTTCAATTTAGAAGTTCTGTCTTGAAAATGTGGCCATTATTTTTTCCTTCATAATTCTTTATGCAATCCCCGAAAAGAAGTTTAAAAGTCGCCTTATCTTTTATGTAAGGCAACTAGAATTGTAGGCTTAAAGGGATGTCCTGCCCTGTGAGCACTTGGAATCATGTCCAGCAGGAGTGACAACGGTTCGGAGAGCCCAGGAGGGTTCATAGAGCAACACAATGCACAAAAATTCTAAATCGAGCATAAATTATGTGAAAAGGAGAAAGCAAAAGAGGTTGAAGAGCATGGTGAGAACCCTAAAGACCCTGACAGTTTTTTGAGGGGTCAGACAGAAAGCCAAAAATGTCTTAATTCTTGTAGCAATTTCAAACCAATATGACTCTCAATTACATCCTGGGGAAGTAGTGCAGAGAAAAAAAGAATAATTGCTGAAAATACAATTTAACTTATAAAGCAGTGATTAGGAGATTTAACTTAGAATAGCTGTAAAAGAGATGCAACAACATTAGAATATTTAATTCAGTAAACACAAAAGAAATATCTTACTCATGCAACAACATTAGAATATTTAATTCAATAAACACAAAAGAAATATCTTGGTGCTCAAGTTTACCATCAGACATGAAAGCCTGCTCTGTGCAATTAAAAAACATCTTGAAAAACCTGATTAAAAGGCAACTTTTGTATATAATCCAGGACCAGCCTAAGAAAAGGCAGTGACGCACGGTTTCCCCAGCTCCTCTAGCCACCTGTTTACGCTGCCTGATCTTAGGACAGGATCATCCTACTTAATGCTCACGCAGTACAAAGTAACAATTATTTGTACAACAGCACCCAATAATTAGCGAGCTAATGAACAAACAGATTTAAAATGTGTTAAGTACATTAATGAATAATCATCAGCAGTTACAATAAAAGAGATGCATATAAAGGCATTTCAGCTGTTATGCTTTAGAGCATAAAACAACTGTTTGTTGAGGAGTATTATGAAACTTAGCTGCAGGTTATGCTGTGGATAACTGTCCATTAGCTTCACTAAATGCACTGCAGGCAGCACGCTCGTCTAGATGGCATCTCTAGAAGGGCACGAGTGCCAACATGGTAGGATGGACAGAAGATGATGGGTCCTACTTGAAGAATAAAATACAAAATGCAAATTCCCTAACAGGTTTCTACTGGTCTGAGTTTTCATGAGAATGCTCAAGAGATCTCATAGCTGTATGAATGTTATTTGTGCTCGATTTTTAAGCATTTCTCACTGAAAATAAGTATGCAGTAGCTGACGAACTGTGGAAAGCATATACCTTGCTGATGGATTCGTACTTACATCTTGTCTTGGCCTGCACCCACTCTTAACGTCAGCCGAGGAATAACCGGGGATGGAGCTGGAACAACTGGTTCCACCTTTATCTGCACAGAGGAACACATTCACCAATCAAAGACTCCAAGTGCACTTCCAAAATTAGTTAATTACATTAAAGTATTTACACAGTTAACCAAAGAGTATCCTGGCTTAATGAGACAGCCTGATGACAAACTCGATCACTGTTCACTCACGCTGCAGCACATACTGGCACAGTTTGTTGGGAGTTCCCAGCCATATGAAACAAAAAATATGAATTCTACACTAAAAAGGCAACATGACATTTCACTGTATTTGCATTCACTTGTACACTTTTTTTTAATCAAGTCTTATCAATCTCATTTTTGTCTAGATATAGAAAAAAAAGTTAAGTATGTTTCTAAATGACGACATAAAGTGCTTTGTCATTAGTACTCAAACTCGACAGGTGCTCACCTGTGTTTGCACATTTTTTGCTGAGGTTTAAATTCAAGTAATTATTTCCCAGATTTATCACACAAATGCACTGTGACCCCCTTGAATCAAAATTAGCTGAATCTGCTCCAGGAGTTTAAAGAGGCAAAAATAACACGCATATAATAAGTAGTTTACCATTACCATTTTGGATGGGTAATGAAAAAAACCTTTGCCATGCATTGTGTCCAAAGAATCTGAGCTGTACACTAGGAGATACCTATTCCTCTGAAAGAAGATCTGCAATCTGAGTAAAATTTCTGGTCTGATACAGTTAATCAGTAAAGCTCTCCATACACATGCTTTTAGTCCTAATTCACAGGACTCGCTCTGCTCTTCTGTTGATATTACACATTTTTTAATACCATTTCTCTGAAGTGCTGCAAATTTTTTCTTCCTCTGGAGCTCCTAATGCCTGGAACGATTTCACTCCCACTTGCCATCAGTATCTCTCTTAACTGCTTTCCAGGTGTCTTAAACTGTAGTGTTGTTCACTGGATAGAGATATGAAATTGAACCTTGGGTACAGGAGGCTCTGCACAGGTCATCTCACCTCTTCCTGCATGTTTCTCCTTTTTTATAGTATCTGTTTAAAGTATAAAACTTCCTAGGACAAGGACTGCTGCTTAACTGCCAGCATACAGCACCGGAAGGCACCCACAACACTGCTCCTTTCATTACAATGCCACCAAGGTGTTCTCAGCAGTGCTGGTGGCCTCATTTGGCAGGACAGTATACAGATGACTTCTTTATGGGTAGAGAGTAAAATCACAGTCTGCTGGGAGAAGAAATCTGGGCTCCACAACAAACCTAAATCTTATTTTTTGACACAAGAGGGTCACTCACAGTTGTGTCCTGGATAGCTCGGTCTTCTGCACGGGTGGAGAAGGCCTGTGCAGGAAGCAAGGTTGAGGAGCTTAACCTCATATGCTAAGTGTAGGTCTTTGGAGGCCTCTTTAACCCTTGGCTAAAGACAAGTTGCAGGAAGGCTGACACAGTGATAAGATTTTGATTCATGGGTAAGGGCAGCTTCCTTTGGGACACGGATAGGAAAAACACTATAATGAGCTTAATTCTGCAACAGGATGCTTAACTATATATAAATATATATATAGTTATCCGACTATATCACTATATTCAAAACTTGAAATGTTACCACTGTTTTTTACATCGAGTTAGCACTTTAAAATATGCTAACGACCACGCCATGTAACAAATTTGGTACTTTATAAGAGATACCCATAGCTGAAACTGTAGGGAGACTCTGAACTCATCTTCATGGTTGTTCTCAGGTCTCCGAAACGGGCCTGTCGTGGAGGTTAAACACCCGAACGGCGACTCCGTCGTTGGCTCTTACCGCACAACCGTCAGCTAAGTAAGTCATTGTGTGATCTACAAGCTAAATTAGGGAAACAGGGACTTTTAGGGGTTAATATGAAAGAGCGGCATTCTGGAGTAATACTGGGAATTGGGGCCAGCAGAAGAGCATTTACAGTGGATTACTAAGCTTCCCAAATCACCAAAGAGGTAAAGTCCAGCAATATAAGACTCCTTTGTAGCTAACTAAAAATACATTGTCAGTGGATTTGTCCAGTTTTATGTATAAGCAATACTTCTTTCACCTGAACTAATACTAGTAGTCATATAAGCCCCTTATTGCCATGTGCTGCATTTTTTTTGCTAATCTTCAAGGATTTAGCTTCTTTGCCACATACCTCAGGGCACCAACTGATAAAGCTCTAACTCTCCATTTTTCCAGGACACCAGCAGTGCGGCCTTGCAAAAAATGAAAATCGCTCAAGAGATTTAAAGGCGAAATTTATTTTTAAAATCCTGACTTGCAGCAAAGAGGTGGATTTAAAAAAAGCTTATCTATCAAGAATCAGTTTAAATTTTAATTCTATCTGGGGACTCTTTCATGCATTCTAGCTTTAAAGTTTATCTTTTGACAGGGACATTTTGCCAAGGTAATGGGCAGCTTTGTCAATTTAATTTCTCCAAGTTTTTATTGCTGTTGAACTCCTTCCCTAATATATATTATATGTTCAGGCTACACTGAAGCTTTAACTGTTCATATTTGTTTGTGCGTCTCTTACATTGCTCTAAAGGAAATTAGATACAGAGATTCACAGATACACAAAATCGAACGTACAAAAGACAAGCAGCTTATTGTCTCTATTTTATGCGCTCGTTTAAAAGAAATCTCTGCAGAAATTCTCAGCAAAATACTGACAAAACGTTTTGGGCATGAGGGGAGGAGAGAGACACAGACACAGTGTTGCTGCAGCCTAAAGCCCAGACATTTAATTAACATGGGCAGATAGACCCTGACCCCCTTGGTCACCAGTTCATCCACAGCGTTCTCCAGATCATGTAGATTCTGCATTGGAAGAACAAACCAACTTAAAGAATATTTTAAGTTTTGAAGCCAGCGGTTAGGTGCATTTTGAGCAGGCAGCACAGCAGGATGCAGTCTCGTGCCGTGGTAAAAAGGGAAAGTGAGGAAAATCCCAAGTCTGAGCTTGTATTAACTACTACACTCAAAGCAGGACATAAAGAGCATCTTGGCAAAGCTGGAATTTAAGTAGTGCTTCCTAATGCTAAGAATACAGATTTAGGAAATCCTGTATCCAAGGTTATCACATATAAAGGCAATCTCTTTTCTTCTCTACTATTTTTTTTTAAACAATTTAATGCATATCATAAAGAGAAGTGACAAAGAATTAGTGCAAACCCTGAATTAGGGGAGCAGTTTCTAATGGGATTTCTAATCTGATAAGGTGCAAATATGCTGGTTCCATTTCTTATATATTAAATACACTCTCAAGATTAGGTGATATTGGAAAGAAGAAATTGCCTTTGACTGATGTAAATCAGCAAGAGCTACAGGAGCTGAAGGAGCTCAACCCATTTGAAAACTAGGTCTCACCTCTCACTCCGAAGGTAAATGCTCAAAACGAAAGGGCACATTGATCATTTGGACCATGAATGTAGGCTGCAGTTTGAAAACAATTTCAAACAGATTGGAGCAACAAGGCTGTGGCCTTACTAACAGTGGATCCAGTAGCTGTGTTGAAAATCTGAGATAACTGGTGAGCTTGGAATACTTCTTTTCTGCCTTAAAATAATAACAAATAATGACTGAAGCCAATATCTCACTTCTCTTTTACACGCAGTTGGTAGTTTAAAGACCTCTACGGACTTTTTACAAGATTATTGGAAACAAAAATTAAAGTTTACACGAAAGGTATCTGGTTGATGGTGTAAATCTGTGCAAATCTGCAGAACAAAACCAGTGTACTGCAGCATTAATACATTTGTTCAAAGTGTGTTGTTGAGTCTAAGGATCAGCTTTTTTTGTGTGTGAAAAGTGAGTTGTGGAAGATCAGAAATGTCAGGTTAAAAATGAAAACAAAACAAAATCCTCAAGCTAAGACAATCCCACATTTGAAATTCACAAAGCTGACACTGCTTCATTACTCAAAGAGGTAGGCCAATACCTGATGGACCTTTCCCTCTAAGCTGTTACTAAAAAAAAAATCCCCAAAAAACAGATAAACAAAAAGCCCCACTTTAATCACGGACTTTTAAAAAGCTTTTAAATAACACTTAGGAGTCAGTACAGGAATCCATGTGCATTTTTCAAACTAAAAAGCCCTCTCAGCTCATTTAAAACAACTTACCTTTTCGTGTTTGTGTTTCTCTTTTTCTTTCTCTTTCTTTTCTCTCTCCTTCCTCTCCTTTTCCTTCTCCTTCTTTTCCTTTTCTTTGTCTTTCTCCCTTTCCTTCTTTTTCTTCTTCTCTTTTTTGTCTTTCTTCTTTTCTTTTGGTTTCTCTTTGTCCTCAAACAATTTTTCAGGGAGCATTGGCGACAAGGAAGGTAACATGCTGGGCAGCCTCATGGCAGTTGGTGTGCTGAACAAGGGCAAAGACATTTCTTTGGGAGGTAACACAAGAGGTGCTGATGGAGCCTTTATCTTATCTTCTTTACCTTTATCTTTAAGTTTCTCCTTGTCTTTCTTATCCTTGTCTTTTTTGCCTTTCTCCTTCTCTTTCTTTTTATCTTTATGTTTCTCCCTCTCTTTTTTGGTGTTGCCATCTTTCAACTTAACTTTTGTGTCAGCATCCTCAAAGTCCTTTAGTTTGAATTTATAGGGATCAAGATCATCATCTTTAAGAAGTTCCTTCCATTGAAATTTCCCTTCCTTGTTTCCTTCCTTCTCTTTTTCCTTCTCCTTGCTTTTCTCCTTCTCTTTGCTTTTATCCTTGCTTTTCTCTTTGTCTTTTTCCTTTTGTTTTTCCTTCTTCTTCATTTTTGTTCTCAGCTCTTTTTTCAGTTTCTTTTTCACTTCTACCGATGAAGCCATCTTGGTTTTCTCCTCATAGACTTTGAGAAGAGGTTCTGGAGTTGGAGGTGAGGCAGAAGGAGAAGAGAAATAAGTGAAGTTGGTAGGTGGATTAGAAGGTGTCCCCATGTTTGCTTTTCGAATGACCTCATCAATTGAGTCATCCATTGTCCATGAAATGTCTGAACTTGAAGTCCCACCTGAAGGAGGTACTGGTGTTGATCCTGCCTTACTCGAACTATTGGCAGAAACAGACGGTTTAGGAGTTGTAGTCTCGGATATAGAAAGTCTTTTAGGACTGGTAAAAATTTCCCCTTCTGATTCAGAACCAGAGGAAAACTCAAAGGGATCAGGCTCCCGTTCTGCACAGGCACGAGCAATCACAGCGTCAATCGAATCATCAATCGTCTTGTCCATCACTGCTACTTTCTTGGGCTGGTTTTCAATGCTTGGCTTGGCGACAGGCTCTGGTGGCGTCTGCGCCTGTTTCACTTGAATGTTTTCCTTTCCTATTTTGTCACTTAATGCAGCCAGAGGGGTTCTACTCGGCGTTTCAGGTTTGACAGCTGCTTGAGGAACATGAGTAGGAGCCTTTGGACTTTTCGGACTTTTGGGGCTCTTGGCGCGGCCTGGTGACTTTTTTTCTTTGGATCCAGTTTTTGGTGAACGTATGGGACTTCCACTAACCACTGGCGAGGGAGTAGTTTTGGGTGATTTTGTCTTCTGCCCTGGAGAACTTGTTTTGGACTTTGTTTTGGGTGTAAACGGTTTTGTCTCTGATGTTTTGGGGGTTGGCAGCTGCGATTTTGCAATGGGAGCCAACATTGGTGGTTCTGGTGAAGGAGGGGCTAAATCTGTACTATCCTGAACGTGAACAGGCGAAAGCATTGGTGGCACTTTTTGAGTATTTATTGAACTGAGAGGCTCACGTGGCTCCAAGGCCCCGTCCAAGGTGTCCCCTTTAGAAACAGCTACTTTGGGTCGTTTCACAGGTGGAAATTCCTCAGCATCAGGACTTTCTAATGGTCTCTTGCTCAGGTAGTTCTCATCATTAATTGCCTCATCCTCTTCCAGATCTCCCTCCTCTTCGAGTGGCACCTGCATGGCTTCTGCGGAGGTACCTCCATCTGTAGGTACCTGCTCCTCTTCCTCTTCTGTAACAAACAACATCATTAAAAAAAATGAGGATCATCAAAAAACGAATTTTACAGAAACAAGCATCAGAGCAAGTAAATGTTCATAAAAGGTAACTGGCCACCTAATAGCTTCTTTCTGGTCTGCTTCAAAGAAAAGTGAGGCCTCCGTGTTCACCAAACGTCATTACGAATGACAGATTCCCCTACTGCAGGGCAACGTTAAACCAATGAGAAAGAATCCTACCAGATCCTCGTAGTGTCTTAAGAACTTGCTACATAATGAGGTTTTCAGTTGTGAGTATATGGGAACACTCCACTTCCAGGCTATGAGACAGCTGAAAATAAACCATGAAACACACCTAGTGTGGACATCAGACACCATCTGCTTCAATGCCCTGTAGACATCACCTGTATAGCTGCTCTGTTCCTTGTTTAATCATAATATAATATATATTTTTTTTCCACATACACCACCCTCTTTAGTCTTACACGTGTGATGCTATGGCACAGCGGAAGGAGAAAAATCACTTGAGATCTCCCAGAAAATCCATGGCAAGTTTGAGAACCTCTGATCTCCCGAACTGCAGTCAAGCACTTTATCCATTTGGATACACTTTCTCACTTCCAAAATGGCATTATCTAGGCAGGAAAAGGGGATTTTTAGCTTGGAATAAGCACTTCCCCACTGGAGTAATATGGGCACATTTATACCGGTTGTAATTACATCATTACATTCAGGCTGGTTAACATTCCTGTGGAGATGACATTCTTCCACTTTACCCCGTGTTCGTGTTTATCCACCTGTAAAAACGCGTGACATTTTGTCCAGGAGGGTTTTGGAGGAAGGATATTGAGTGCCCTAAGGTTCTGGAATGGAAGATGGGATACAAACCACTTATGACGACAGTGGATTAAAAAAAAACACACAACTTTTTAATGAACAGGTAATTTTAAAGAAGCAAACACAGAAACTATAATGGAACGCCAACACTTTTTAAAGCTTTTTAGAATAGCATCCTTCTTAAATACCTCTTTTTGAGGCTTTATTGTCAGGTTTTCTGTGCTGGTCTTTCTTTACTGTAATGTGTCAATGCTCTGATTTAGGAGAGTTGAGTCAAGAGCCCTGGGCTGCAGCACAAATCTTGCCAGCATCACAAATTAAGTAAAATGAGCTAGCAACTGTGGCTTTCGCCAGGGCCCGGAGGATTTACAGCAGCCAGCCCAGAGAGGAGACTTTGCCGGGGGATAAAGTCTTAGCCGTCCGTGAAAAACAGAAATGTTAGGGAGTTTGGTTTTGCCTGGCTGGGCACTGACATAAAACGTTTTAAAAAGTAAAGTTAGAGTATAACTGAGAAATTGCTGTGGCCTGAGCCTGCACCTGCTCTGGGAAAAAACAAAACCTGGGTTTCAGTGTGGGTCGGAGCTGCCGCAGAAATCAGCTCTCCTCATCTGTTTGGGGGGGATGAAGAAGCAGATGTCCTACAGCCCTGCTTGCTGCTGAGCAATTCCCTCAACACTGAACAAATGAACAAATTCATTCAACAGCGTTTGCCCACCGACAGTTTGTTTCCATTTTAAATAATAATGATTAAAAAAGTGATAAAACAAGCACTGCACTTCAAACCCGGGATTTAGCGTATGCTTCTGCCTAGGCCACAAGACTAAAAGCACAGCCAAATCACAACATTTGGAAAAACCAGGTTTGTTCACATTGACTTTAAAGATAGAAATATAAAACATTTTTATATTAAAAATATGAGGATAAAAAGATATATATGATAGTCAATAAAGTCAAAGAGAAATGACTGCAAATGGCACTAAAGAAATAATATATATATATATGTACACACATGTATATACATATTTACTAAAATATGTATGTATTTGCTAAATATTTTTACCCAGCATCTAGGTAAACAGCTGCTCTGGTAGACTGCCTCACTGCAATATTTCATGTATTTGTACCTCCCTCCCATCCCAAGGTGCTTCTCATGTTTTACCTACTTGGTATTGCAGGAAACCAGTAGCTGCTGGATCAAAAAGAGCAAGGGAAAAATAAAATCAGCTCGGGTTTGCAGAGCAAGGCTGGAGTTCTGGGCGACAGGGAAGAGCCACGCTTATTTTTCTTTTAAGATCCAGTGAAATTGGCATTGGGGATGGCAAGGAGGGGCAGGAAAGGTTAAAGAAATCAGGGGCTCCGTGCTCCAGCTTTCCTGCACATTCCTGCAAGCCGCAAGGCCAAGGAAGCGGAAGCATCACCAGCCCTCTTGGAAAGCCTCGGATTCCCCCAAACATCTGGAAAAAATTCCTGGGGTCGGCTGTGCCCAGTGCAGGGCCCGCGGAAGCTCCGGAGCGCTCGCCACTTCTCGGCCATGCTCGGCTGACAATCTGGAATCCCATCTTGGGCAAACGAAACCCAAATTTCTCTTGGAACGAGGCCACGAGCTGATCCGCAGCGAGGGCTGGTTTGTTGCCAGACGGCAGCCCTCAAACCTGAGCCATCGCAGCTGTGGTCGTGGCAGAAAGAAATAGAGCTTTTTAACATTTTATTTTTAATTAGAGCAAATTAAAGCGTTCAGACTTAAATTCTATGGGCCCACTTTCCTCCTAAACATGTTGGAGCGAACGTGGATGCACGTGACCCCCTAAAGCTCATCTGCTTGCACGAGTGGCGAGTGTTTCAAACCACGAGGAGAGTTTTCATCTCTGTGCGTCTCGTTGGCTCCTGGACAGGGCTGCCTGCGCTCCCCCCTATCTCCTTAGGCCACCTTATTAACGACGCTCCCCTGAGTTAGCATCGACGGGTCAAGTGGTATCGCCTGGGCCATCTGCCCTAATAACTCTCTCCTGTAATGAAAGGAGACCATTCGAGAGGCTTCTCAAGATAACGGATTTTTTCTGTTTTTGTTCTTTCCCGTTAGAGAACTTGGTGCTGGATCAATATGAATGTGTGTATTAGAGCTGGATGGAGCAATTGGCCATGATGTCCATGGGCCCCATGGACAGAACCCGGCTTTGGACAACCTGTGGGTTATGGGAAGGATGAGTTTGGCGTCTGCAGTCCCCAAAATAACACACTGCTTAGGAGAAGATTGTTTATTAAGACAGTGTTTCATCCTGCAGCGTGTTAGGGGTGATATGCAGGACATGTAACGTTGCCTGCGTCCACGTAGTGAAGAAACGTCTTTGCTCTCAAGAAAAGATGATTTTGCTCTTACGACACAAGGAAAGGCAGTGAGGAGTCTCTTCCCTTTGAGAGCCCAGCATGCTGGTCACCCCATGTGCTCCTGTCTTCTTCTCTTGACAGTGTGATGGTAACTTCATCTCATGGTGATGCTACAAAGGCTGAACTTGATAAATCTTTGGGATTGCGGGTCAGAAAAAGTGTTGGAATCCCAAATACCAACTGCAGGGACTCGTCACCCTTTTGAATGACGTGAAATGTCTCTAGCTGAGCAGTTCAAGCAAGAAGCTGAAGCTCTTCACACACAAAAGAGCAACCGGAGCAGCACAAAATATCCTTCTGCGTGCATCGTGTTTCTGTAGAAGAGCAGGCACTCAAAACCCCAGAGCTTATGGAATATATACCTTCCTAGCTTGGCCACGGCTCAGTACTGGGACAGCAATACTCAACACTTCCATAATGAACTTTCAAGTTTAAGATGATCTAGGGACTGTTTGTCCCTAAAACTGGCACGGCGGTGTAAGGGAAAGAAAATCCGTATTTACTGCAGGGAAAGGAATGCAATCACCCGTACCATGCGACCAGGCTCTCCCAGCTGCCTAATTAGAGGAGGCTGCGCACGTCGACAGCAGGTCAGATGAAAGTGAAGGCACAAAAAACATACGCAATGCTTTTCTGATTGAAGAGAAAGGCACCTATGTCTAGGCATTCTTCAAGCAAGAAAGGAGATGACATGAATATATAATTCATCATCATCTTGGTCATTATCAGACATTTTACTTGGTAGCTTCAGAGATAAGGGCTGCAGTGCTTAAAGCCTGAAGGATATCCTAAAGAACACGGCACAGATTGGGATAGACAAGATCTCTGCTCAGCTCCTGGCCATGCCAAAAAACTTACTGTGTCCGTCGGCGGGTATTTAATTTAAGCTCCGTTCCAGGTCTCTTCTGGAAACTAGATTAATATTTCTCTGTGTCATGGGTTGGTGATAGCATAAAACCATCTGACTGCACATGGAAACAAATGAAGTGCAGGGATCCAAGAATAACCCCACACCTCTTCAGCACAAGACGAAACAGGGTGAGATATGCCTTGGTCTAAAGCTGGACACTGCTTGCTACAGAAGGCACAACAAGACGTTAATAACAGCAACCTCTTAACCCCAGTGCAATTGCTGACGTATTCATAGTACCAAGGTCTGGCAGGTAACTATCCCTTCAGAAGCCAACTCAGGTTATTTGTAAGACTGGAAGATTTTGCCATTTTATTAACTTCAGTATGGCAGCTACACGGTATTAGCTATCAGTGCAAACCCACTGGGATATGAATAAGCCAAAGATACATTTTAGAAAAATTTAACTCATTAAACAAAGGGCTTAATATTCCTGCTATACCTTAGTAAGAAGAGACTTTTCACTTCCATTACAAGCAGAAATAACAAAACCAAACCCCAAAATGCCATGATAGGTTTTATCTCACAGAATCACAGAATGGTTGAGGTTGGAAGGGCCCCTTGAAGATCATCAACTCCTCCTGCTCAAGCAGGGTCACCTAGAACAGCCTGCCCAGGAGCCTCTCGGGTTGGCTTCTGCACATCTCCAAGGATGAAGACTCCACAATCCCTCTGGGCAAATCTCTTCAACTTGTTATACGGAGAGCACCAAAACTGAATCCTGATATTCTAAAGGCTGAGACTCATAAGAAGAAACCACTAAGATACCTGCAATACGTTTTGAATTTACAGTGCTGGATTCCCTTCTGTCATTTCTCTGCTGTATGAACACAAGCACTGATGTGAGTTTTTTCCTGAACAGAGTGCACTGACAGATTTCTCTTTCACTGTGTAAACG